GATGCTAGAAATAAACACCTATCTCACGGCTTTCCTCAGGATTAGTGGCAGTGTCAAAGGGATGGCTTGGACCAAGTTTTGCCCCACCTACCCCCCAAATCTCCATCAGTTCCCTACCTTAAAGCACCACAATTAATCATATGATCTAAGTAAAAAGCTGAGCGCATACCATGCAAATAATAGCTTCAGGACAAATCTCATTGCCTACCCTAATGTGATTTTTGCAACTCAATTTTTCCCCTTTATACAAATATATAAATTACATATATATGTATATATACACATATGCATGTGTGTGTGTATGTGTGTGTAGCTCCTAAAGCCTTTTCTCCCAAGAATAGACTCCATTTGACATCAGTATTTTTTAAGATGACAGATTACAAAATTACTTTGAAATTTTGGAATTCTCAAACAACCTCATTCTGTGGTTTTTATGGCTTTCTTATGTCCATATCTTAAGAAGTGCTCTGACAAGCTTACACCTAAAGAGGCATTTCTGTGTTGAGAATCAACAGACTAGCTTAAACTTCGATGTCACTGACTAAGCACACAGTTAAGTCAGTGGGAAATGCTGCAGTCATGGTTCTTGACCAGCTTAGAGAAAATTCTTTTAGTGAGTGAGATCATTCTTTGACTTTTAAAAATGTATTTTTTGAACATTGAGCAGCCCTTCCTTGACCTGATAGGGCAGTTCCCTTCCATTTGTATGGTGTGCAGTATTTTGTCCCCTGGCATCTCAGATGATGGGGTTGTTGGCTACTGGGCAATGGAGCAGAGGGCTTGGGCCACACTCCTTTCCCTTGTGTTTCATTCTGACCGGATGTTAGTCACTGAATATTTCTCGAGTGTTATACTTCCTTGTCCAACTTGCCAGTTTGGCAGCAATATTTCCTTCTAATTAAAGAAGTTACCCAGATGGAGATTCCAGATATATGTAAGCTGCTTTATTAGGACCATGGAAAGATTCAACCTTTTCTTCTAAATACAATCAAGAGTAGTATGGCTTTGCCTTTGTAATTTTACAAAGAGTTATATTACGTAACTGGAAAACTGTCTTCCCAAGCGTACAGAGAATTTGTTAATACAGAATGTAGCTTGGAAAATGCTGATGTAGAACTTCAATCCGAGAAGGAGAGACCTTTTAAGTTGCTGAAATGTAGTGGAGAGGAAGAAGGAAATTGCTGTTTTACATGATTGACCAAAATGCACTGTAATTATATCAACTTGAAACAGATTCCTTAGAAGAACTGATAACTCTGTGATCACAATAAGTCATGTGTAGTGGAACTAAATACTGCATGTACTTTCTCTGCAGTGTAGACACGCAGCATGTGAGATGCTCAGTGGAAGAGTCGGCTATTCTTGCCTTAGCCTGTTTAATGGGACCTCCGGCTGCTTTAGCAGTAAAGAGTGGTGGGGAGATCTTACTGAGGAATTACTGTTTCCCATGCCTGCCCATCCTCTCACATTGCTCGACAAGACAGTTGTGTTCTCTCCTCACATAACGATGCTTTGATGTTGCCACTCCTGTTTGTAATTAACATAGCATCACTCATCAGACAGTCAGCGTCTAAATGGAACACTCCTCAAGGATTCCACTGACTGTCTTTGTTGCCTGTTCTAATGTGGATGGGTAAAACTTAATCACAGATATTTAACCCAAAGATATCCCTCCCCCTCCAGTTTTCCCTCTTTCCTCCAGCATCTCTACATCAAGCTGTTTTCTGTCAGCCACAGTCAACCCATATATAAGAGATCATCTCCACTAAGAGTGAATCTAGTGTCTAGTGTCTACTGTCAATAAAACTCATTGGTTGACATCTGATACTCTGAAACTCTATTCCTAAACATTATTCCTTGCATATAGTAACCATCTGTTTGCACCTAACCCCCTCACCTACCTAACTATAAGCTTCTAAAGGGCAGGATTGTGTCTTACTTCTTTGTAATGCCTCAAATAGTGGAGTGCCTGACATAGTAAATGTTCAAGAACTCCTATCAACTTAATAAATAGTGGATTGGAAATGCCATCTGTCACATTCTGAAAAAAGAAATTGCAACTAGTGAGTGAAGTGCCTAGACTTCAATGGCCAGGTTAGATAACAAGTTAATGATGAAATAACTACAGTATTCTGTATTCATCTTTGCTTAAGCTGACAGAAGACCTGCCTTACCCTAGCATGGGGACATCACAGGCAAAGCCGAAGTCTACCCCTCAGGAAATTTTCCAGTCATTGCTTGGGTCCCTCTGCTGACTCTCACAGCCCCTCCTAGGACCAGAAGCACGTAACTGTGAAATAGCCATGTGGAGTTAGCTGAAGTGCTCAGCTGAGGAACAGGAAAGTCCAATGACCTATATAGTGCTTTGACTTTTATCTCATAAATACCCTCCTCTAACCCTCTCAGGTCTCCACCCACCCTGAGCAGCTGAATGCCACCAGCAGTGTGCTGTGACACCTGTCCTAAAGGAAATTCAGGAAGTGGCCATGGTGGGGATCTTTTCCTTCACTTCTCCCAAAAGGAGAGCTTTTCCTCACTGGCCTTTGTTTCTCTCAGTTCCCCACCTGAAATGCTTTCTCCTGGCTTCTGCTTTCGCCTCGCTGAATCCTACAGGACCAGCTCAAATCCCTTCTCCTTCCTGAAATCCTTCCTGGTCCTCCTCAGGAAGCAGTAATTGCTCCCTCGGATGAACACCTGGACAACGTGTTGCTGATGCTACTTGACATTTTGGCTATTTTTCCTTATATTGTTCATTATTTTATCTCATTTATTTATTTGTGCTTCTTGAGAAATAACATCCTGGGTTTTTATAAAACCTGTAGCATCTTATTTTATATGGCAAATATTTTTAAAATACTTGGTAATTTGGAAGAAAAGCATCTAGAAAGAAATTTGATAGAGGTAAACAAATTTAATAAAAACTAATAAAATATTATGAGAAAAACCTATTAGCATGTAATGCTTTTATAATATATAATATTTAAAACTATTTTAAGTTATTTTCTTAAAAGAACAGTTAGAGTCTTCAGCTTCCTAACTAGACATAAGAAAATGTTTCATACTCGGCAATGAATATAGGTTACAAATATGCAAATACAGAAATGGAGATTCTGTTATCTCATCTACATGCAGAATTCCAGAAACACCAAACATGGTCCCTCTACCTGACCATCAAATCATGTTCTTGATTCTACACAGAACTGCTTACTGAGTCTTCTGGGCCAGTGATTCTACACATCAGATGCACCTCTGGATCCAGACCAGTTTAAATGAGCTTCTGATAAGCTCCATGCAATTTAAATTGTAGAGATATAGTTCTTGCCTAGAAACTAACCTTCTAAAAATGATCATGCTACTAGAGCAATAAGTTTGATGAGCAAAACCATTGTAAAGATGAATATCTATGACATTTTAAGCTTTGACAATAGTAGGTCTAGGGTTGTGGAATATTACTTGCTGGGTTGAAGAGGATCAATAGGTGGTCATGTTGAATGTATAATTTTTAAAAACCCATTTATTTAAAAAGAAAAAGGATTGCCCAATAAGTTCATCCCTTTCATTACATTTTTGTTGCTGCCATTCATATTCTGACATTATTATCTTTACCTAGACTATTGTATTGGTTCATGTTCTGCCCTCCATCTGTCATTCCAATTCAACCATTCAGGCAATAAATATTTTTTAGGGATTTATATGTGCCGAGCACTATGCTGGAAGAATTAACTCCCTCCTTTCAGAATAGCTAGTCTCCTAAACAATCAATCACATTCAACAAATCTCCCCTTTACAAAATCATGTGTAAGCCAGCCTCCCTTTCCAGTCTTATCATATACTTGTTTTGTTCATATGCCCAACTGCTTCAATCAAAGTAAATTATTCACTCTTTTCTGTGATATGTGTGTCAGTTTTTAGCATAATTCCCTGGGGTCTAGAACTACAAAATAAATCACTCTTAGAGGTAGAAGTTGTGTTCCTATTATAAATCCAACAATCTGAGAAAAACATCTCAAAATAGACAATAAAAGGATTTTGAAAATTCTTTTTTAAAATGCTTGGTAAAATTGTGGAGGAAAGTACAGAAGGGAGAAGGACCTTAATTCAGAATTAGGACAAGGAACTTAAACACAAGGAGTAGACAGACTAAAGAAACCTGAAAGCAGAGAACAACTGGGATGTCAGGAAATGAGAGCACTTGTCATAAATGTCTTTAGAAACAAACCACAGGTTAAAATATAAAATGAAGAAGTTAAGACCCTCCTATTGAAAACTTCCATGTTTTGAAGGTTAGAAATCTGAGATGCATGATTATACCCAAAGAGAAGAAGAAGAAGAAATTTAGCATTCTAAAATGGGACACATTTTTATGGAGCACCAACTGTATGCAGAGCATTGTATTTCTGTAAAGATCCAGGCAGCCTGAGCTACCCTCAGTGACCAACTGCTCCGTCATGAAGTAGCGAGAGCAAACTGTGTCACAATACAGCACCACTCTCGCTCTAAGCACAGGCTCCTGTCTGCCAAAATGAATTCCAAACTCACAATCAGGATCAAAGTTAGGCCATATTAGCTGCTCTGTATTTTTAACCTTTGTATTAAATTACCATCAAAGAGCACTAATTAAGATAAGAAATAGAGCTGCTTTGTTTCATATGCATCTTCAGATTTCTGAATTACACATTAAAACAATCGATGACATCTGTGTATGCTTTTCACAAAAGTAAAAAGCATAAATGCCTCAGGGTGCATCTGTCTGGCTAACCAACAGACTGGGGGAAAACTCTTTCTACAAGTTTCTAATAAAGTACAGAGAAATATAATAATTTTAAAGGTTACAAAAATAAGGTAAAGGCTATATAAAAATAAATCAATAAAATCTATAACAAAAAAAAGAATATTTTGGATTAACCTTAAAAAGCTGAGTTTCCTAAGGCTTTGAAAAATGAGAAAAAACCATTTGGCAAAATTAGTAACTTGGATTTTAAAATTTATTTTGCTTTTAGGTTCCAGATTCAGAGATGTTCAACTGATCCAAACAGTTATAAAAGCTTAGGAGACAGCTTTCGAACAATTTTCCAAACAGAAGGGTATGTATGGCTCTTTATATATGTTGATATAAGCATTTAAATATATTACTGCATAACACATTTTCTCATTTTGAATGAGATATTTTCCTAGTCTTATTAGGGGAAAATATTTAAAGGAGTGCCTCCTTACGTTTTTATGTCATTCTTGATATGATTGAAAATTAAATGTATATACAATAGAAACTACCATAAAAAGAATATTAATAATCAGTTTGATGACTAGAGGACAATTTCTAATTTGTGCCATGAAGGCTTTTTAGAGTTCTCAATAACTAGGTCTATGTAAATGTAACACAACAGTTTCTTATTTTGATTCTTAAGTATGTTGCCCAAATGTGGCCCTTGTTTGCATTGTGGCTACGAATATTCAGTCAAGACTGATCTATGTCAGAAATTGCTGTGTCAAATTTATTATCTTATTAGATGAACAAATAAAGAGAATATTTTTGTTATATAACTTAAAACTGTATTTGATATATAGATTCTATTAAAGACTTTATCCAGCACAATCTTCAATTTGCTTTTTGAGTTGTTTTCATAAGAGAATTGGTTGAAAATAATTATACAAAAATGTAATACAAAAACAGTAATAATAATAACTAGTATATTTAGCCTCACTATGTATTAGGAATTCTCCTTACAACATCGTGAGGTAGATCCTATTAGGATCCGTTCCAGGTGGACACATGAAGAAACCAAGACTCAGAAAAGTTAGTAATTTTCACATGTCTGGTAAGCAGTAGATAGATTAGGGACTCAAATCTAGGTCTGCTTGAGCTCAAAGCCTGTGCTCCTAACTGCTGTAGTTCACTACCTCTCTTGGCAGATTGCACTGTGGATACTGTTCTGCTAATTGCTTATTTCAGTTAAATATATATCATAGACATCTTCCCATGACAGTATATTCTTTTTTTAATCATTATTTTTTATTTTTTCGGTTAGAGTTGACATACAATATTATATTAGTTTCAGGTGTACACCCCAGTGATTAGACATTATAAAACTTATTAAGTGATCATTCCAAAAAATCTCATACCCATCGGACACCATACATAGTTATTAGAATATTATTGACTATATTCTCTATGCTGTACTTTACACTCCCATGACTACCCTATAACTACTAATTTGTACTTTTTAATCCCTTCACCTTCTCACCCACCCCTCATACCCCCTCTCATCTGGCAACCTTCAAAATGTTCTGTGTATCTATGAGTCTGTTTCTGTTTTGTTTATTTTTATTTTTAGATTCAATTGTTGATAGATATGTATTTATGGCCATTTTATTGTTCATATTCTTGATCTTTCTTCTCCTCCTCCTCCTCCTTCTCCTTTTCCTTAAAGAAAACCCTTTAATATTTCACATAATACTAGTTTGGTGGTGATGAACTCTTTTAGCTTTTTCTTCTCTGGGCAGCTCTTCATCTGACCTTCAGTTCTAAGTGATAGCTTTGCTGAGTAGAGTAATCTTGGTTGTAGGTCTTTGCTTTTCATCACTTTGAATGTTTCTTGCCACTCCCTTCTGGCCTGCAAGGTTTCTGTTGAGAAATCAGCTGACGGTCTTATGGGAGTTTCCTTGTAGGTAACGAATTGCTTTTCTCTTGCTGCTTTTAAGATTCTTCTCTTTGTCTTTAACCTTTGGCATTTTAATTATGATGTGTCTTGGTGTGGGCCTCTTTGGATTCATTTTGTTTGGGACTCTCTGTGCTTCCTGGACTTGTGTGTCTATTTCCTTCACCAGATTAGGGAAGTTTTCTGTCATTACTTTTTCAAATAAATTTTCAAAATTTCACTCCCTCTCTTCTCCTTCTGGTATCCCCATGATGCAAATATTGCTTGAAGTTGTCCCAGAAGCTCCTTACACTATCTTCATATTTTTGGATTCTCTTTTCTTATTGCTGTTATGATTGGTTGGTTTTTGCTTCCTTATATTCCAAATTCTTGACTTGATTCTCATTGTCCTCTACTGTTGATCCCCTGCAAATTATTCTTTGTTTCTGTTAGTGTATCCTTCATTTCTGACTGGTCCTTTTTTATGTTGTTGATGTTTCTTAAAATTATCAGTAAACTCCTTGAGCATCCTTATAACCATTGTTTTGAACTCTATATCTGGTAGTTTGCTTGCTTCCATTTCATTTAGTTCTTTTTCTGGAGATTTCTCCTGCTCTTTCATTTGTGACATGTTTCTTTGTCTTCACATTTTGGCCGCTTCCCTGTGTTTGTTTCTAGGTATTAGGTAGATCTGCTATGTCTCCCGTACTTGGTAGAGCAGCCTTGTGTAGTAGGTGTCCTGTAGGGTCCAATAGCTCAACCTCCCCAGTTACCTGAGCTGGGCACTCCAGGCACACCCCTGTGTAAGCTGTTCACACTGTCCTATGGTAGTTGAGCCCTAATTTATTTGGGCGTCACCCGGAGGAAATGATTCCCAGGCTAATCAGTTGTGAGGATCGGCTGCAACTACAGCAGAAGAGCTGCTGTGCAGGAGCCAACCCTGTGGAGCAGGACTTGCTTCAGTGTGGCTTTGGTGCTCACCAAGTCTACCCCTTTAGTGTGTCACTCGTGGGGGCGGTAAGGTTGTATTCCAGCGTGGTCGAAGCTAACCATGAAGTGCACTGGCTCTCGGCCTCTTGGGAGGTGCAAAGTCAGCTTCTGCCTGTGCCCTGCCCAGGGCCACCCAGTATGAGCTACAGAGCAATCTGCAAATGGCTGCTACTTGTGTTGAGCTTGGAGGTACCCAGGAGAGGCCAAGCTGTGAACTGGCAGGGGGGTGCTGCTAGGGCTGGGCCTGGGGCCACTTATTGAGAGGTACAGGGCATGCTGATGCAGTTGCTGCTTGTTTGAGAGATTTTAGGAAGGTTTGAAGCATGGGACAAGAGAGGCTAGTTGTTTGGAAAAGTCACTGGAAATGGCTTGGATGAGCTTGCAAGGAGGGTGGGGTCTCATCCTACAGGGCAGGGCAAAAAGTGTGAGCCAGGTCAATGGAGATTCAGATATGGTGCCTCCTGTGGGCTCTGTGGCAGGGAGGGCTTTGTCAAAGGAGCAATGGCCTCTGCCAACACTTCTGTCTGAGAGAAAGCTGCCCCTGGAGCTCTCACCCTAAATCCAGACAAGTTAGGTCCTCCCTGAATGGTCTAGGTTCCTTTCAAGCTGCTGCCCCATTGCTGGAGCTCAGAGGAAGTGAGTCTGAGTAAGTCCATATGTGGGCCCTTTAAGAGGATCTGCCTGGGGCCAGCAGCCTCAGCCACATTCCCCCTGTTTTTTACAACCAGGAGTTGTGGGTACTTCTCTTCCTGGCACTGGAACCCTAGGCTGGGGGTCTGATGTGTGGCTGGGACCCCTGGCTCCTCAGGGGGGACCCCTTGATCCCCAGGGGGGACCTCTACAGCCAAGATATCACTCCTGATTTTAAACTACCACATGTGGGTGTGGGACCAACCTATTCCACAATTCAGCCCTGCGTTTACACCCTTTTTACCAGTCTCCATGTGCTGCTTCTTTAATTCCCTGGTTGTAGGACTTCTGTGCCTTTAGATTTCAGGTGGTTCTAGATGGTGTTTTTTCTGTATTTTAGTTGTAAATTTTGATGTGGTTGTGGGAGATGCCACCATCTTGACTGGAAGTCCAGCACATTCTTTTTAACAATAGCATAGTAATTTATTTATCTACCTGCTGCAATTTATTAAATTAATCCTTTTTGTGAAACATTAGGTTGTTTTCAGATTTTCACTATTATAAGCAACAGTGCAATAAATATTCTTATACTAGTTTTGCCTATTTGTGTACATATGTATATATTTCTACAAAATAAAGTTATGAATTTACAGAATCAGATGTTACAATTTTACACCTTTAGTGTTTAAGAGTTCTTATTTTTCACACCCTCTCAAATGCTGGACATTATTAACCATTATTTGGGATATCTGTCACTCACATGCATCTCTTGTTTATAACCTAATAGGTGAAAAACAAAACTATTTTAGTAGTATTCCCTTGATGTAATGGGAATTGAGAATACTTTTATATCATGAAGTATCATTTATTTTATGAATTGCTTATTTATGCCCTTTGCCCATTTTTCTTAGATTAGATTTTTTTATTGATTTGTAGGAGTTCAGTATATTGTTATAGGTGCTAATCTCTTGACTATTACATAGAATGTAAATATTTTATCTAACTTATCATTTGCCTTACAACTATGTAATGCTTTATACCTTTCAAACGTTTGTACTTTTTAAAGATTGTGATTTTGTGATTATACCTGTCTGTTTTATTTTGTTATATCTGATCTTGATGTCAAATTTAAAAAGAAAGACATCTCCTAATCCCCAAGATTATAAGCATTTTCTTATGGTACTTTTTACACTTAAATCTTTAATCTACATAAGAATTTTTTTTCATGTTCAGTGTGGTAGATAGGAATTGAATTTTATTTTCAAATGGTTAGTCAGTTGTCTAAACACCACTTGTTGAAAATCTATCCTTTACTCACTAAATGGAAGTGTTAGTTTTTTCATGTATTAAATGTTCACATATTATCTAATTTTTCTATTCTGTTCCTTCATTTCCTGTTCTGTCTCACTAATTTATCTCTATGTCAGTATCTTACTGTTTTCATTATTTTATCATTAGAGTATTTGAGGAATATGTAAAGATATGCCCTGCAATATAAAGTTAAACTCTATAATGGTGTGCAGAGCCCTTCTAATACAACATCCCTTCTTCTCCAGGCTCATTTCTCACACACAGATCTGCTCTAGGAATAGCAAATGTTTCAGCCTCTGGTATCTCACACTCTCATGGCTTTGCATGCTCTTCCTTATTCCTGGAGGATCAACCCCTTAATCCGCACAAGAAACTACTGCTGTTCATTCCAGGGTGCCCTCAGGTTTCACCCTCTCTGATCATCTTGTCTCTACCACATGCTTACTTTATGGGTCTTGCTTTCTTTATATACATATGCTATATAAAATATAGTGTGCATCACCCTGATTTATTGTGCTCACTTTCTGTCTCCCCTCCCCACCCTAAGAATGTATTTCCCTAGGGGGCATGTCTCATTTCGCTCTGTATTCCTGATGCCTGTATTTGGCACTGAGTAGAGAGAGTAAGTGCGCAATTAACAAATGAATGAATGTCGTCACACCAACATCATAATGATGCA